ATGGGCAAACAAACGGACGGATAGAATGTGCCCATAAGGTGTTTTCCGATCGCGCTAAACCGTAAATGACACCTAATAAACTACATTTTAAAATACACCATTCAACACTAACCTCGTGCATTTTAACCTCATCGATTTGCTCAGGAGAGAGATCAGTACCGGGCTCTTGTGAAAACCGTAATAAACACAAGATGTGAAGAATTTCTTGATTAGCCGAGCGTCTATCGGCCTCTTAAAAAAGGTTTTGATGCATAGAGTTAATTCGAGTTAACGCCATCCTGAAAACCTTACATAAAGCGCCCTGAAATATTTTGTTAATTTTTAGTCGAATATTTAAAAATAAAATATTGATTGATGTACAAATTATGATGTAATTCTTCCCGAAAAGACGGATCTGGATTTTCGACCTAATCGATACTCGACATTCCGTACATCTTTCCATTTTATTTTCCATCGACCTAATCGATCTTGGCACTGTGGTCACAGGACTGGGCTTACACATACGCTGTCTATTCCAGTGAGCATTATATTTCACAAGCAAGTAGATCTCTTCCCTTTCTGATGTCCACTGTTCTGAAAACAATTCAGTCGCAGAGTGAAACTCACCGTTATGCCTCGAGTAGCCGAAATGCCTGCGCCTGGACAGAGCCCTGCTGTGCTGGTAGCGGCCCTGTGCAGGGGGCTGTTGTATGTGCAGAAGTAGAAGATCATCGGTCGGCCTCGGTAGCCACAGGTTGTACCAGCTGGTAGGGGGTGGCAGGAAGTCACTATAGTGGTGTACCAGCCCACGAGCCGTTACTGCGGGAAGAAAGACCCCAAGGTTCAACATCGCAAGTACAATCATAAATGAGAATATCGTGTGCCTTCCGAATGGAACCCACAATACCACAAGCCATATTTATCAAGATTCTCTTTTCTTACGTATCCTTCCGTCTCTACGTCTCACTCAGAGAGCACCTGAAGAAAGGAACGGTCCATCTGCAACGCTGCCCACAACAAACTTCCCACAATCATTGTAGACGATCTTCGGCTTCAAAGGGTTTATTTTAATATTACTCTTCCCAAGTCGTATCCTTTATTAAGTGTTTCAAACAAAACTGTGTAGGCAAATATATTCCTTGTTTCTCACGCGATCTACAATTCCCTCCCATCTCAACTTTCTTGATTGTGTTACCTGTAAAGGAAAGCGATCTGAGTTACAACTTACGGAATACGTGGGACAGCCACAGGATGGCGATGGCGACACGGGATGCTGGAGGGACCATGACGACAGGGTAGCTGCTCTGTCTGCTGGAACAGAAAGAATGTGCCACACAGACAGGACTCAGCACACAAGATCTGTCTTTCTCAATCAAATATAAAGAGTAATGTTTACTCCATTTGGGGATCAGTGCTTGCCAACTATTTCGCGATTTTCCGCCTCTCACTGGTATAGATACCCATTTATTGCAGACAGGCCCTAAGAATCTGTTGTTGACAGAGTTAATCAATGTCAAGGTAACCTTCCCAAAATTTCATGCTTCAGAACCACAGAAAAATCTACAAGGTCACAACACCAACAGCGGGGTCCAGAGGAGTGAAGACAGCTCAGAATCAGCAGCGTAGAAAATCTAGAAACGCTGTGTTTGTGATTTAGAGCCGCCCGGTAAGAAAGGGTGAAGTCCTCGCGTGGCCTTGAAATATGCAATTTAGTGACGGCCACTCTAGAGGTCCTATACTGCACGGAACCAAACCCCAAGACACATAATATCAAAACATTTGCGGTGTGTGTGAGTTAGGGTCAGTTATAGACACAAATTCAACGTAGATGATATCAAGAATTATGACTTTCGTTTCAAAGTTTGCGGATCGATATTAACGAACTGATTAAGTAAATGAAAGAAAATATTTTTTTCTGAAATGTGTGATATGTTTACTGGTGGTCGTCTTTCTCAGCAGAGGAATTTATGTCTCTAACTAGGTCAATGACTGGACAAGACTGATGTCGGGGTTAACGTGGTTTTATTCTGGTCCTTGGGGTGTTTGCTATATCCAGATGAACGGAGATATTTCGGCTATGGAAATATACACAGTGAGGAATCTAGCCATTTGATATAATCTGGTGATTATCCTTGATGATACTAATGTTGAATTTAAACGTTTAAATTTAGAAACTGTTTAAATATAATTTAAACAAATAACCGTACACTCCATAGTGACTTTATGTCATAGCAGCAGTAAGATTCACTCTTACACAAATACAAATGCAAATTTATTAAAATTAATAATATCACTAATTACTATAGAAAAATTACACCTGTGATGGTGAATTTGAACTCTGTACCTCTTACCCTTTAATTACAATTGAACCTGCGGTTTCTATAACGCGAGTTTTCCATGACGCGGTGTTTTCCAGGAACACAATTATCTCGTTATAAAAGAAACAGCTGTTTTTACAGCACTGTTAAATATCTTTTTTAAAGGGAAACGTTAAAACCATTCTTATCTTTATTTTAAACATTCTTCATTCAACAAGAATCCAGTCGTGCAGCAAGGAACGTGACGTAATAATGTTAGAAGTCACGGACCGGAATTGAATAAGAATATTACGACAGACGTCTCTTGACTTTGTTTCCTCTGAGGCTCTATAAACCTTGAAATCATGAAACCATCGCAGGCCGTCACGACTATGAAAGAAATTATCTTACATTTTAAATAAAAACTGCCACAAAATATAAATCCGGGATAGATATATTTTAAAAAACGCGGCAAAATTGAAGCAGTTTGCCAAGAGCACCGAATGATGACCATAAGCTATAGGTATAATTAAACATTTCGGAAAAACATACTGTCTCTATCATCAGGGTCGAATTATATTATTACAATGGTCGTTTATTGTTTGTATTGTCCATGTCAACCTTAAAATCATAAAACCAGAGTAGAGTTACTGCAAAATGCCTTATCATGTTGGTAAAAGAAATTATCTCGTACGTAAATAAAAACATTGCTACAACAGAAACACAAATCAGGTGTAAAAGATGGACGCGGGACGTTAATAACTATCAATGAGTCCATTCGACGTCACAACCAAGAAGACCTTCATCGTAGTGAGAACCCATTCTCATTCTTGTTCCAGATATTTGTGATGTTTTCATGGCTGCAGGCCTGTTATAGATTTCTCTGAGGCTCATATGTTAAACTTAGTAACCTGTGGAATATACAGTTTGTAAATCGAGGTCGTCATGTACAGAAACGTTGTAGATTGACGTGTCTTCGGGCAGAGCTGTTGAAGCGACAAGTGAAAGCCTAAACTTCGCTAATCTTTATCTTAGTTTCCGTGCTAACACGAGTTGTTCAGTTGCTAATATTTCTACCACTTTCTTATCTTAGATTCCTTAACAATTATGTGCAAGTAAACGGTTACGTTCGTGTCGAGTCTTAAAATCTTTGTTGCACCAAACTTAACAAAATCATTAAATCGTCAATGTTGAGCTCTGCCAGCTGATTTTGGAACAGTCTACATCAGTGGTATTCAATCTGGGGTAAGAGTACCCCCGGGGGTACTCTTACCCCAGATTGAATACCACTGATCTATAAAATGCCTTGCGCGGTACCTACAATAAGAATGACGTATCTGTCTTCCGAGTTGATATAACGAGCTGGATGCAAGGAGCAAATCATATTAGACACAAGATATCCCAGAGGGCGACTGAAATGTGCCACATTAAGTTCCATGACGACCATTTAATCAAGAATTACTATAACAAGGAAGAAGAAAATTGTATATGAAGAGATTCTTCACCTAAAACTGTGAGAGCAATTAAATCAATGATGACATGAGTGTGATATGTAGGACGCATTAAAATTATATTTCCAAACAAATTTGTAGTTCAAAATATCTCAACGCTAAGAGGTCACATGGGAAACAAAGGCGTAGTTCAGAGAATAACAACAAAATGGGTCTTGGATAGTGAAAAGTGGATTCATCTGGCTGAGGATAGGATGGTGAACTTATGACTTCCTTACATTCAGGAATCTCTCGACAGGATAAGCGACTGTCATCTTTCCAAGGAAGATCCCGCACCATGGATTTACGTTACTTAAGCGCTACTTTGTTCCTACCGCCCGCGGGTGCCATCCAGTTTGTAAACCACAGCTAATGTCCGGTAAATTTGCTGTTAGTGGAAAGTAGTAAGGCAAAGATTGGCCTACAAATCTATCTTATGGAGAGAGCGTAACCGATCGGACATCTTCATTGTTATCGTCGCGTTCTGTACTCCGCGGGCTAAGAGAGACAAAAAGCATCTACTAGCTTCTCTCTGTTCTTCGTCGACAAGGGAACTATTTAATTTAAATGACAATCTGGGAGAGAGTGACATTTCAGGCTCTCACGGAGGCGAGTATAAAGATGGCTGTCTTCTGGGTTGTTGCACCATGTATTCTGGTAGAAGGTTGCCGAAGTTTCAGAAGTGCTTGCTGTCGCCATCATCAGGGTGATAGCGCCGTAGTAACAAACCATAAGACAACCATCTTCAATCTGGCAGCGTTATTCTTTCGCCCTCCGCATCTAGACCAACTCTGAGATCCACCTTGTCCTGTTACTATCCAACGGGAACCGGAAACTGACTGCTCCATTCCATCTAATACCTTAGCTCCTCAACAGACACATAGCTAATGAGAATGCATTCTTCAGCTACACGTCCTGGCCGCTTTGCCCCCAGGAAAGAGCTTCTGGTATCCACTGGATATGAGGCTGGATGGGACCAGACAGCCAATTTGGACTCGGTGACGGAAAGAATAATTTCTACCCTGCTGTGAATTGAACCCTGGCCGTCACTGAGTCTCCTTCAACCTCGTGTGTCATCTGAACAATAATCAAATTAAGTCGCATGAAGTTCGGACAATGAAGAACCAGAAAATCATGCAGTTGGTAACAAGAATTCTGCGCAGCCGACGTCTGCACTCATCATCCATCGCTCATGTCAGCGTATCGAAAGCTGAACTAAATCACAGTTCCACCTGCGTCAGCAGAGCAAAATCTCTCTCACACGTCAGCCTCAAGAATACAGGCATGTTCGTTCTTGTGGGTAAAACGCCATTAGAACGAGTATCTTATCAAACGCAGTTCCGGATTCAGAAGACCCTTGGATCAACCGTCCTCACAGCAGTGTCTTCGTGTATCCCAACGCCTACACAAATACACACTTAGGATAGTAGGTCTATTAGCTGTCTTCCTTGGTGGTATCAATGCACTTACATTGAACTTCAGACAGTATTACCATTATTACCACTAGTATTGTTGTTACTTAAGCTACTAGTAATCCAGTCGGCATAAGAGATGAATTTTTGTTCGACACGGAAACAAAATATAAACGAAAAAATTGATAAACGTGTAGCTGTATTTGGTACAAGAAATAAATATATTTGGAAATTGGAAGAGTCTATATTTACGCCACAGCTAACGATAGCAACAGAAATAATCGCACGGAACTCAAAACATCTTCAAGAGTTAGAACTGGAGAAAATTCTTGCTGACAAACACAAATCTGTTCCTCTGGATACATGTAAAAGACCTGTAACAGACGGTTTGTATATTGTAAATAAAATAAAAATTATTAGTTCTAGGTTTGTATTAAATATTAGGCCTTATAGTTGCATTTTTCGTCTACTAAATGCGATTTAGCGTGTACTCCACCGTCACAAATTTATTCTTATAGCGAAATGCGACAGAACGAAAATACAGTAGTTGTAGTGTATTCATGCCGAAGTTCTAAATACGCGTTTATAAGGAACTATTGTAAATCTGAGAAAATAAACAATTAAAATAATGACATACGTCTACATGTTTAAATCGTTATTAAATTGACTAAAATTCAAATGACAGGATCTATTCATTCAAGCCACAAGCTTTTAATTTTTTAGTCTAGCCTTGTCTAATCTCACGGAACATTTCAAGAAAAATGAGGGAGTTCGATAAGAATAAAAATTGCACATGGCTTGCACAGAAATGTTAAAATTAATTTAACACATTGACATTTCCACTTGGAGAGTCTGTGTTAGTGTTAACTAAGTAGATAATTTCCTTGAAATAATTCTACATAAATAGGACAAAAGGGTAGAAAGACGCAGGCTGTCCACGTCTCTCACAGCAGTGCATCGCCGACAGTGGTTTCGCCTCTAGCGGACTTCCAACAAGAGCGATTACATCGAGTTTTGTTCGACAGATCCACGGTTTCCATTTGAGCACACACAGAAAATAGGACATCTAAATTTGCCGGTGATGGAACTTTAACGTCATCAGAAATCAATTT